GAGCTGTCCGGGGGAGCCGGCCCAGAGGACGCGGGGCTGAGCCCTGGGGGTGAACCCGGGGAAGGAAAGAGGAAGAGGGAGGGTGAAGAGCGGCTCTGCGCGCAAGGACAGAAGAAGCTAAAGAAGAAACAACAGCCTCGCAGCTTCTCTGAAGAAAGGGCAGCTACTGAGGAGGCAGCAGATGGCAGCACTCCCTCGAAGAAGAAAGAAAATAGAAGGAAATCAAAAGTGCCTCAGGAGAGGACTGAAGCAGGTAACGATAAACTGGGGTCACTTCGGTCGACAGTTCCAAACCGAGTAGATGTAAGTTGCCCTTTTACTTGCCGAATTTACCTGATGGTAAATTTTGTTTTCCTTTGCTTACTATCTAATTCATTTTTTAGAGGAAAGCCCCATATTGCAAACTTTGAGCATCAGTTTAGTGTAAGGGAAGGAGGGAAGCATGTCGCCTGACTCTTCAGTTGCTTCCATACCAACAAAGGGATGTTTGGCTTTTACACTTGGATTTAGGAAGAAAGAGGAGCTGGAAAGTTGTTGCTTAAGTCCTACACTGTAAAATGTTCCCTACCTCCCTGCTTTGTAGCACATTCTGACTGGTAGCCTTGTATTCCTGTTATCCAAATTCCAGATTCTGAACAGGAAGACAGAAGCAACCTTAAAAATAAGTCTTCTAAAAGGAAGAAGAGGGATGAGGAAACAGAGGAAGCTGAAACACGGAAGAAAGAGAACAGTGAAAGAGCTGAAGAAAATCAAAGCACAAAGGATGAGCTGTCCTTAGCAGCCTCAGAGGAAGAGGCAAATCCTCCACCCTCCAGTTTGATGGTTCTTGGAGACTATGACAGAAAGCCAGTGCAGAAGGTAACTTGCTTGACTGAATTTTGATGATGGTCAGGAATGAACAGGCATCCTTACCAGCTTATTTAATGTATCGCATTGCCTGTTTGACAGCAGAAATGCTTTGTTTTTCTCTTTTCCCTCGCCTCAGGTTCAGCCATTCATACCACAGTGGCTTGCTCAACCCAAACTAGTGCAAAAACGTATCAAAGATAATCTAGTTCCAATCAGGGATGTTCCAGGAATTCATCCCAGGCTGTTGAAAAAGCTGCAAATGAATGGGATAGAGTCATTTTTTCCAGGTACCTTGATAGTGCTTTTGTGTCTTTCTGAATTGACTTATGTACTTCTTGCAGTCTGTTGCTGTGTATTTTATGTAGTAGTCAGTGAAGTAAAATATAGAACAAAACCAAGTTTAGTGCATGAAAGTGATTGTACCAGTTTTAACCCTTCACTTTCAAATCTTTATCTAGGCTGAGTAATTGAAATCTGTTATCTAGTCAAATGCAGCTCCCCTAAATATGCTGACTTGGAGTAATAGCTCACAACTGCCACAAGAGGGGGGTCTTGCTTGTGTCCTCCCATTCCCCCCTTATGCCAGGCTTGTGCTTTACTTCCTTACCTTCCATCATCTCTGCTTCTAATCAGACATCTCTGGGAACCTGTTCAACTCATTAAAGCGGCAGAAAACTGTTCAAGCAAGAAAAGCTGTTGGTTTTCCATTATTTTACTGGTTTTGTAGACAAGTACAATAAACAGCAGCTCCTAAATAAGTAGAAGACACAGCTGGAAGCAGGGATAAGGAGAGGGAGAGAAGGGAAGAAGGTGAGATCTCTGACCTTCAGCCAATTACTTGGCCCAGCTGAGCCTGCAGGCTTAGACTGTATCAGAGACTCATCAAGGTTACATTGGAATGTGACAGCATGCGTCTTCTCTTTTTTAAGTATGCTATTACATAATGTTTGAATTTAAATGCTATTGCTTGTTTTGTTCTGGGAGATCTTAAGAGGTTGCTGATAGCCACTTCTTATGTTTTCTCATAAATCATGTCCAGTTTATGGCACTTGGCAGTAGATGAATCAAGCAGTGCCATGCTCTGTCTGGTAGAGATGGTGACCACTGAAGTCATACATCGTGTGCGTCACTGAGCATGGTCTTGTCACGGAGCTAGATCCCCTGGCTGCTAAACCTCATAGATAAAGCAAAGTTGGCCAGTTTGTCAGGGCTTGTCATGGGACAGGGAGAGGAGAGAGTTCATGTGTGACAGCCAGAGCTGTTGTCTGTACAGGATTCTGTGCTTCAGTCCTTCTGCAGCAAACTTGAATGACTCCAAAGCAGGCAGGAGTTGTGCATTTTGCTCCTTGGCGTGTAAGGCTGCGTTGCTGTGTTGGCATATTCTGGGTTTATATAAGAGTAGTTTGTACTTCAAAGAAAGGATGCTTACAGACAAATATTCATAGCTTTTAAACCTGCCCAGTGCCATCCTAACATGAGAACGAGAAAACAGATATGAATTGAAAATTATATTTAACACAGTAACATCCTAGCTCACTACTAGAAATAGCTGAATTCTTGGAGAGGGGAATCTCTGTATTCAGTGCTAAGCTTCCATGAGTGAACAAGAACTGGGTAAGACCAGGTAGCATCTATTAACAACTGGTTTTGATTTCTTCCTCTCTTATGTCTATAGCAACAACAGTACAGATGTGGAAGCCGATTCATTGTCTATAACTTGTTTTCTGGATACACTGGTTTTAGCCCAGTTAACTCTGTAGTTAATGTTTGTTTCCATTTTTGTTCAGTTCAAGCAGAGGTGATTCCTGCTATTCTACAGAGTGCATCCAATGGGTATTTGATGGGGCAGGGAGGATACCGCCCCAAAGACATCTGTGTCTCAGCACCTACTGGCAGTGGTAAAACCCTGTCTTTTGTCATACCCATAGTACAGGTGAGTTTACCCCCAGTGAAACATCTGT